CTGTGGGGAGCGGACGACGCGGTGATTGTACGTTCGTCACTGTAGAGGGCGCGAGTCTCTTCTTGGACCGTAGTGGTTGTCGTATGTCTATGTCAGGTTCCGCGTAGGAGGGCTGAAGGCGGCCCCTACAACACTATTCGGACTCTGCCATGCCCGGAATGGCCTAAAGCGTCTGTCCCGTCGTACCCTGATGGTACTTTTCAGCAGCGGTGTAGGGCATGGTCCTTGGCACTGTGTTTGACTTGAATGTCCTATCGTACCTTATGCTCATCATTATGAAGGAGTAGGGTGTAATCGTCGGGCGAGGCGGACTCTGCCCCCGGCCGTTGGGCAAGGCAGAGCCTGTCCTCAGTCGTCGGGCGAGGCGGGACCTGCCCTCGGACGTCGGATGAGGCGGAGCCCACCATTGGGGGTCGACCGGGGTGGAGCTAGCCCTCGAGGGTTGAGCGAGGTGGAGCCAGCCCTTATCCATCGGGCGAGGTAGAGCCTAGCCCCCAGAGGTCGGGCGAGGGGGAACCAGTCTTCCGTCGTTCGGACAAGAAACGTAGTAGCGTTCTCGTCTGATCGGAAGTATCAACGTTCGATGGTCATTGGTTCCACCTCATTAGGTACCCCAGTATTATGTCCCTGACATGTAGTGACTGCAATCATCCATGAGCAGGAGGAAGTACCGCCGACCACCATTTGTGGCTAGCATGATCGGCCCATAGAGGTCACCATGGACGAGCTCGAGAGCGTCCTTCGCGCGATACTTGGCCACCTTTGGGAACGGTAGCCTCCTCTGCTTCCCGGCCAGGCAGCTGTCACACAGCTCGCCTCCATGCTTGATGTGGGGTAGCCCTCGGACCAACTTCTCCAGCCGACCAAGTGCGTCGAAGCTAAGATGTCCAAACCGGGCATGCCACATCCATGGTTCCTCGGTGTGCCTTGCCGCCAGACACACCGGCTGCTCTACCTTCAGGTCGAGCAGGTACAACCGGTTCAGGGACCTCTTCACCTTGGCAAGAAGTCGCTGCTCCCAGTCCTTGATCCTAAGGACTCCATCCTTGATCAGTACCTCGCTACCGCACTCATCCAGCTAACCAATGCTGATGATGCTGGAACGTAGCTGCGGGATGTAATATACATCCGTTAGCGTGCGGTGCTCCCTATTCTAGCACCTGAAGATGATGGTGCCACGCCCTTGGATAGCCACCCTTGAACCGTCACCAAACTTCATCGTACCGGTAACATCGCCGTCGAGCTCGGAGAAGGATGCCTTGTAGCCCATCATGTGGTTGCTGGCACTAGAGTCCAGGTACTACCGCTGCTCCTGGTCGGCTCCCACACGTCCGAGGTGGACTTGGGCGCGCGGTTCGTCGAGGTTGACAGCCTTTAGGGCCTTCCCAGGTCCTTGCACCGTCGTCACCTCTTCCTTCTCCTCGGCCTCGATGTCGTGCAGTGCACAGAACATCGCCATCAGGATAGTGGCCTCATCATCATCATCAGCTTGCGCCAGATGAGCTTCAACCTTTTTCTCCTGCTTGCGATTTGGGCACTCTCGTGCCTAATGACCCATCTTCGCGCAGCACTAGTAGGCGTTGGGGTCGACCTGCTTCTTCTTCTCCGAAGAAGCCTTGCCGCGGTGCTTGCCATCGCCACCGCGGCTGGAGGAGGCTGCCTTCCCAGAGTTCCTCCGAGCAGCCCACTCCTCCTCTGTCAGCAGCAGTTTGCCGTTGTCCTTCGTTGCTGTCGCCTGCTCCAAGCGCTCGTCCACCGCCCGCAGACGGCCTGTCACATACTCAATGGTGAGGGTGGACAAGTCCAGCATTGTCTCTATGGAGAGAGCGATCTGGATGTACTTTTTCGGCATAGAGTGGAGGTACTTGGAGACCGCCATCTCTCCGTCGATGGTGACGTCATGGCTCTTCAGCTTGCTGATGAGCATCTGCAGGCGGAGGGAGAAGTTCTCCACCATTTCACCATCCTTGAACTTGAGGTTGGCGTACTCCTGCTTCAGAAGCTGGGCCGTGGCCTTCTTTGTGCGGTCTGAACCAACGCGCATCGCCGCAATAGCCTTCCACGCCTCCTTAGTAGAGCTCTTCGCCCCCAACGGCTCCCTGTACTCCACCGGTACAGTAGCGAGGATAGCCTCCAACGCTGACATGTCATCTTTCTCATTGTCGGTGCCCTTGTCAACAACATTCTAGAGCTTTCGGGCTCTGAGCTTGACATTCATGGTCACCGACCACTCTCCATAGTTGGTGCGAGTCAGCGTCGGCCAACTAGTGCCGCTGACCTCCCGCACCGTGCAAACAACGACCTCCGGTCGTGGCTGGGCAGCCACAGCAGTGCCACTATTGTCGCCCTTCTCCGAACCGCCCATCATCGCCAGCGGTTAGTCTGGCGATGGCACTTGTACGGCTTTAATACCACTTGTTAGCCCACAGGATCACCGGCTCAGGTGAGTGAACCACTCACCAGTCTTGCCGAGCACCCGCTAGTGTTGTCGAGCACTCACTAGCTAAGCCGACCACGAACAAGCGTTGTCCGTCCCCACACACTATGGCTAGAGGTTGAAGAAGAGGGAGAACAGAGCATACACACACAATACAAGACACCAGCGTTGGCCGAAGCCCTGTATGGGAGATGGCAAATCTGAACTCTCTTTACTGAATTGTCGTGGCAGTCTATTTATACAACTATATCCATCTAGTCCTATTACAGCGCACATGCTGTAACAGTAACTAGATAACACAGCAAGACTGACTTCTGCGCCTGTCCCTGCATGTGGTGCGGCATGTGAGACGTTCGGCGCCTGCCTCTGCAGCGGCTACAGTTCCACAGCAGGGGGCCTTTTCGGCGCCACCTTCCCTTGTTGTGCGTTCATACAAGGAAGCAGTAGATTATTCTAACATACACCACTGAAAGCAGCAGTCTCTATTCGTTCATTGAAAGGTGTGGAACTACTTATTAAGGTGCAATAACCACATGAATATGTTTCCAAGGAAACTGATCAAGTTTAGTTTTGTTATTCCTAGGATGAGCATAAGTTCCGGTTTATTTGATGTATAGTCCATATTCCATGTTGTAGGCTGGTGCTGATGTCAATGCTGGTCAGCCAACTCCACTGATAGTAGCAGCAACTGCTGGCTTTACTGATTGTATAAAGTGTTTGTTGAAAGCTGATGCTGATGCCAATATACCTGACAATGTGAGTTTTATCCTACTATTTGGCTTGTTTGTTGTCACTCATATTAATGTTGTAGATTGCCAATCTATTGCAAAATAATCTTCTAAAATTATTGCAAAGCGAAGGGTTACAGTAACATTCCATGACCTTGTTATACTCATGTTTAGAATATTTTATTAGACACTATTTGATAACAATTGTCATAGGTTAGAAGATGGAATATGGTTCTTTTTTCTAATAAAAATAAAAATAAACAGTTGAACAATCTTATGCTCATGAGCTTAACTAATGTGAAACTAATGAATTTAGTATTTTCCCACAACTGGGTACACATTTTAGGGTAAAATTTTCCACTTCAATATCCTATGTCATCTCTCAACAAAAATTAAGAATTTTATGTCTTGCTAATACTGAAGTTGGCATGATCCTTCATGGGACTGTGAAGAAACGAGCAAAGGAACTGAAAGAATCTGGCTTGCACTTCTTGCACCTGTTCTTTATAGACATGCCCAAAGATCAATGGGAGTGATAATACATATACTATACCTTTCATTAGTGGAACTATGCGCATCAGCCATCCACTTTCTCGGTTGGGCAGGAAGGTCAATCACTCATTCTTAAAACCGGCATTTTTTAATTAAGAGTCAAAGAATAGGTCATAAAAGGGGGAGAGAGCTTTCCTTGCCTGGTTCCTTTGAATGTGATTCCAAATCAGCACCTTTGTCTTGAGATTATGAGAAGAGTTGTTTGTGGGTAGGGAGGCATTAGTAGCCATTGGGCCTCTCTGGTACTACCTGTTGTGGAGGCCTGCGAGATTGACTAGGTTTTGTGATATTCCACTACATGCTAATACAAATACATAACCTGGAAAATCACACGTAATTCCTTGCCTTCCCACATTCTAGTGATAGTAATCCTAATCATTGTGTGGCAACCACTTAAAAGATACTCATTGTGTGACAGGACGTCTTTGTTTTCCCCTGTGCTCTCATGAGATTGTAAAATGTCGGATATCCTTGTTAACAGAATGGTAGAGTACCAGTAGAAATTGCTGCAATCAAAGGATGGCAGGAATGTGTTGAGATTCTTCTCCTTGTCACGACACCTTTGGCTAGAGTTGCAGACTGGAGCGTCAATGGAATTACTCAACATGCAAAATTTTCAAGACCAAACCTGCAAGTATGGGCAAAATATTGCTAAAGAATTGATGCCATATCCCTTGTTCGAAAAATGTTTTTTCCATTCCATCATAGATCCATCTGTCTATCTGACTTTCAGCTGTCCATGTTATTTAGGACCCTCTTCTCCATGAGGACGATAGACCTGATTTTGAGGCAAATGGTGATGCTGCATTCTCTGACAGGGATTATGCACATGCATTGAATCTCTATACCAAGGTTAATTCTTTTCTCAGATGATGGAATACAATAAGGTTAATTATTGCATTATTCATTCCATTAAATATAAGTTGTACTTCTCTTTCAACTCATCTTCTGACTTCCCTATAGTCATTGCCTTTTATTTTATGGGTTTAACGTTGAAGTTCCAAGGACACAAATCTGGTCATATATCCTCCAGAAAACTGGTGATCTAGTTATCGAACTTTTATCAACCACTTTTTGAGTCCCTTTTTTGTGAAGATTCTCAATTTAAACTTCGTTAGAAGGATCCTTTTGAATTAGATGGCTGTCATGTTTGTTAATGTTTGAATGTTTAAAGATTAAAATTGTCAAGTATATTTGCATATGTTATGATTGGCTATAAGTAGCGCCATTTATGGATTAGCTTGACCTTCGGTTTAATAGTTAGTAACACTTGGTGGCTACAGGCAGTGGAGACTGACCCTGGTAATTCAACCTTGTATGCGAAGAGGAGCCTTTGCTCACTGCATACCGGAGACAAAAGCAATGCTCTGGATGATGCTGATACCTATAAAGGTATGGAGCCAGACTTATCAAAGTCTTGTTATGCTCAAGGAGCAGCTCTGATACTGGTGAAGGTGAGGTGTGCTAGGCTACTCAGTAGCAATGACATTTGATTTTCCATATTCTCCGTCACATTACATGGTCATGTATTTGCACTTTTTTGTTTAGGAGTATGGCAGGGCCTGTGAAGTACAAATGTCTGGTTTGCACTTGGATTTTGAAAGCAAACTAACTGACACAGCATCTAGGTAACCTCTGTTGTATTTGGTTTAAGAATTCTCTATTTGACACTAGAAAAACTTCTTTCCTATTTGATACCGAAACTTAAAAATTAAAGTCATCCATATCTGTCACCTATTTCATCTTTTGTTCCCTATTTGACACTTCCGTCAATTTTTGGCTATAACAGCATTAAGTCCAAGGAGAAAATGTGCCTCCTATGTGTGTTTTTCAGGTATGCTGTGTTTAGGCATACTGTGAAAAAAACATCTGCAAATAAATAAAAGGAAAAAAAAACATGCAGCAACAAGAACACAACATGTCTAAAAAAACACATAGGAGGGGCAAGATGGTCTTTTCGCCTTGTTAAAGTCGTTACAGCCAAAAAGTTATGGAAGTGTCAAATAGGAAACAAAAGATGAAATAGATGACATAGGGAAGATTTTAAGTTTTGGTGTCAAATAGGGAATTTTCCCTTAATCCTTTGGTTGGCAAGTCTGATATTTTTTCCTAGATAGTTGAGATCTCTCCCAGCTTTTAGTGGCTGTTCTCCTTGGCCTTCACAAAGAAAGAAAGTTCATAGTTCAGCTTTTGGAGAACTAACCCAAGCTGTGGAATCGGCATGTAAACGAACTGTTTTCTACCTATTAATACAATGACATTCGTTCTCGTAATTGTTCGAGAGAGAAAAGTACTCCATCCACAAAATGATGCAACTATGGGATTTGTGCAAGTCAAACTAGTTTAACTTTGACCAAATTTATAGTGAATAGTATTAACATTTATGTCTTCAACTCAGTTTACTATGAAAATTTATTTCATAATTAATTTAATGATCCTTATTTTGTATTATAAATGTTAATACTTTTTATATTACTTTGGTCAAACTTCAAATCGAAAAGTGTGGACAGAGGGAGTACCAAATAATGCCTTGTACTCGAATCCATAATTTTTTGTACTTTCCCTCATCTTGACAAATCCTGTGTTCTAGAGAAGCAAAACACAATTGACTTATGGCTGTGTTTCTTAAATTTGTTTTCTCATTTGGTTTGGAGAATTGTGACTACACAGGAAGCTTGTCCCAATATGTGTTCTTAAAAAAAACTCTCAAGAACTTATGTTCACAATGTACTGGGCTGTCATGATTCTAAAGTAAAATAACTTGTACCATATTTGTAGTGCGGACCATCAGTGAAGAAAGGTTGCTACGGCAAGAAAAAGTGGAGGTTGTTACTTCCGCACAGGCACTCAGACAGGATATACTGACAGATCAAGAATCCATTCGAGAGTTAGGGACCTGGGATGCTCATTTTTTGTTCTTTTGGACCCTGACTTTTTTGGGACCTGTCCAGGTTTTGTGAAGATAACCGATGCTGCACTGTATGTGTACTACACACACCTGCACCTATACAAAACTGTGAAATTGGCCCAAATAGCGGGTCTTACACTTCTTTAAAGATCAAAAGTGCTCGAAGTCTGAAGACCTAACTGAAAATGATATCAAATTGTGGTAACAGTGCTGCGTACCTGTCCTCAAAATCACTTCAAAATCTGTGTAATGAATGTTGCATGAACTGTGTTCAAAGTTGTTGGATATCCAAAGTATGCTTTGTTATTACCAAGTGAATTTTCTCCTATGGACACTGCAAAAACCTCGTGTTCAAATCTTTTTGTTGCTGTTAGCTAACATTAATAGAGTGTTTGGTTTAGGGAACCAACCTATTCTAGATAAGTTGGCGTATCATGAGCCCATTCCTCAAATTTGGTGGAATAACTTTATTCCTCATACCAGAGTAAGATGATGGACCACTTCATTTCACAAACCAAACACACCTTAAGTTTCTTACCAGAGATAACCTTGAAAAAGGAGGAAAGTTCCTGGCCCAACAAGTCTGTTTTGCAACGAAATTGAGTCAATTAGTCATTTAGTCTTTGGGTGCTGCGTAGGCGTGTAGCTAAAACTATCTAGAAGATTATTCCAGAGAGTCGAAGTTTACAATTAGCCTAGGATTTTGAATCAATTGGCTCTCGTTGGGCAACAAGAAAATGGTGTCACTAATTGAAAGTGCATCTAGGCCCACTAGTGGTTTTCATGGTTGAATGACAAAACAATTAAAGGACTAATGAGTTTGACGAGCTTTGAATATGTTTCATTGAAAATGATCATGTCAAACTCATGGTATCGCTCAAATGAAGAAAAGACAAGCAAATTGATAAAGCATAATAAGACAAAGGGAAATGGATGTGTTTGGTCTCAATGATGGCTTTGCATTAATACAAAGAGATTGATAGTTGACTTGTATTGATCAAGGTCGAAGAATAAATGAAAAATGATAAGTGGAGAAATGACAAGCCAAAGTGAGTAAAGGAGAAGAGACATGGTCTTATGCATATGGGTGGTCTCATTATGTTGGCTTGCATCTTCATTGTGGAATATCATTGAGCTAAGCAACTCGACAAGCATAAGATGGATGTATCAAAAGGGACATGTTTGTTGATGGATAACAAATGAAGTCTCAAATTTGAAGCTCGGTCAAGTTGTGCAATCGTAAATCAATTCGAAGCCCTACGTCCAGCAAGCGAGTTCTTTCGTGTTAGAGTGCTCAAGAGAGGATTTAAAATAGAGGAGGTAGAAGAGCGAGAGGACTTGGTCATCCTCGAGTTCAACTGATCTAGGGTTATATTTGTTGATCCCCCTTTGGAGGGTCCCTTGCCTTCCCTTATATCTCTAGAGGGCAAGGAAAGTACAAAAGGTGGGTTTTGTAGCTTCCTTGGGCGTCAAGGAGGCACTAGGGCTTTGCCTTCCTAGTATTCATGTCATTGGGTGCGTCCTCGCTCTATGTGATCATAGCTGATAGCGTTCAAAGCATATGTGGTAGCTTTTGTAGATGGCATGGATAGGGATAGGCTGATACTCAGTCGTTTGGCCCATCCCTAGGTCACTAGTACCTTGGCGTCCATTGTACATCAAGGGAAGGATGAGGCCCAGGGAAGCTGATATGTGGGCTCGACGTGCCCATCTTCTTTGTGAGTGGGGAGCTGCGCGCGCCCCTTGTCATGTCCTATCACGCCTCGGTGTGACCCTTTGCCAAAATAGGCGGGCAACACCACGCTAAGATAGGGAAACAATGTCCTATCAAGGCTCTAGAAATCTTGCTCCTCTATCCTCTGTGAAGGTGTCAGGCACCTACAGTGCGACAGAGACTTGTCAGAAGGCCTAAGGCATCTCCTCGGACCTTCTGCTCAGCCTCATTTGGTCGAACAAAACCCCTTGATGATGGGCGGCTGGATTGACCCAGGTCTTAGCCCCGTCCCCAAGCTAGCTTTCCTCGGCGGAGCCCTTGGGAGACGTAGGCTTGGGCATCATGGGCTTCAGTCATTATACAGCGGGTGCGCACGAGCGCACCAGCTGGGTATAGCCCTCGAGCCCCTAGCTGATTGCTAGAATTAGTCTAGGGGTTAATCATGTTGCAGAGGTGTTAAGTGATGGGTTTAGGTAACCCTTGTCTTAAGTATTCATCACAATAAAAGCATTTTTGAGTGAAAGGATCAAAATGCCCAAGAGGAGGGGTTGAACTAGGCTAATCTAAAATTCTCATGAAATTAAAACCTATGCATATGTGGATCATCGAAAATGAAGTCTATATGTGTCCTAGGCGTCCATTTTATTGTAGGTTGGTCCTGGGCCTCCGACTTGTCTTGGATGCCCATGCTGGTCTTCTCTGCCTCTACACCTCTCTCTAAGTACTTCATGACCCTCTCCAATGTTTCTAAGCAAGATAACATCATGAGATAGCGATCTATTCTCAAAACAATGAAAAGGATTGCTTAAGAACGAGCTCACCTTTAGATTGAATTATCGCATTCAAGCTTGGGTCATTGATCCTTGCATGGAGGATCAACGGGTGCATCCAATGGAGTGATGTCCTCATCAGGGATCACTGCAGGGGCGACTGTAGGGTCAAGATGGCGGACTAGAGGGGGTGAATAGTCCTTTCTAAAAATTAATCGCGCTGGCTAACCGAAACAAATGTGGAATTAAAACTATCGGTCTAGCCATGACTACACCCCTCTATCTAAGTTTTCAAGCACCTTATAAAATATCCTAATTAAGCAACTAAGGTGCTGGGCTAACTAGAGCTCTTCTAAATAATTCTAGAAGCAAGGTCACACAAACCTATGCAACTAGTACTCAAGCAACGGGGGAGCTCCTACACAAACTAGTATGCAAAAGCATAAAGCCTAAGCTCACTAGCAATGCTCAATAACAAGGCTACTCAAGACAAATTATAGAGCTCAAATTACTTAGCTACATAAACTAAGCAATGTAATTAGCAAGGCTAGTCAAGCTAACTAGTTACGCAAGGGAGCTACTTATATGCTTACACAAGCAAGGAAGGCACCAGCAAGCTACTAAAGTTATACTAGTTACAAGAGCAAATACACAAGCACAACTAATTACGCAAGGGAGCTACTTCTATGCTTACACAAGCAAGGAAGGCAACTAGCAAGCTACTATAGTTCAACTAGTTACAAGAGCAACTACACAAGCACAAAGTGTATATATATATGTGAATAAATACAAGCTTGTGTAAGGGGATTGCAAACCAACAGGAATAACAATGTTGACATGGTGATTTTTATCCTGAGGTTCACTTGTTTGCCAACAAGCTAGTCACCATTGAGACAAGCCCTAAGGTTGCTGTCGGTTCTCTTGCTAGTGGTGACCCACAAGTCACACTCTCTCACGTGGAGTGCTTACCACTATCTTTAGTACTTTGACACGGTCGGACCACTTGTCGCCCTTGGCGTCTCGCTCTATTAGAGTTGCTCTTCGCTGCTCCCGCGGGGCGAGCACAACACCCCTCACTTCTCCAAAGCAATGCACAAGCTT